CTGATTCTTATGCAGTCTATTAATAAGCCCACCAAAGATGTTTTTATTCCTGTTACAATGCTTTTGACCAGTAGCATTTCTCTTCGGCTCTTCCTTAGAATTTCCACCTGCTGGCATCACCGTCTGCTCTTGCCCGCGGCCTGCTTGATCCGCCAGGGCCCTCAGGGTCTTCCTCGCAGCTGTTCCAGTCCCCGGTCTGATAATTCCCACATCCCTGCACGTCCCAGTCTGCTCAGGGCGCTTGCTCTGCCCCTTCACCCTCTGCTTCTGTCTCTTAGTGAGTCTTGTAATTTTAACTCGGTAGCTGGATGGCAGGTGGTGCGAATGTGGGGGGAGATCCCAGGCTGTGAAAGGAGCTCCGTGAGTGGGGGACATCCCAGGTGGCACCCTGGCTGACACTTGGGAACCACCCCTTGAGTACAAGGACACCCAGAGAACTCGAGCGGAAGGACTTCAGGTCCTGGAATCCGTGGCGTGGAAGCTGCCCCTGGCAAAATAAAAGGAAAAACACGAGTCTTTTGAGCACCCTAAATCCCTTTCCTGGGGTCCCGGAGGCTGCTGGGCTCCCGACGCAGTGGGAGACTTGGTGCCACCCCGAGCTCTGTGTGCGCTTGGGGGGCAGGGAGACTTCCCCACCTCACTGTGAAGGAAAAGACGCGTCACTTTAACCTCAAGCAGCTGAAGCCACCCAAAGCCCGATACCCCTCTCCCTCCTCCAGGCCCCTCAGAAGTTGTCAAGGACATTAGGCAAATAAACAGCTTACTTTTGAACACACTAAAGAAGTGCAATAATCACCAAGAATCCAAAAAAAATGGTTTAAGTTTAGTTAATGTCTTTTAAGCTTATTAACATAAAATACCTGTTTCTTTGGCCTTGGTTTACAAAAATAAGTTCATGCTATTTATTGCTGTTACAAAATTTGCTCAGAAAATGGCCTGAGTGATAACTGACTTTAAAATCTTGCAGCGTTAAGAACTAATAAATAGATGTAGCTAAAATGAAGGGTTTTTGATAAAGCTTTTCTGTAATAATTAAATACATAAATATTTTGAAATAACAAAATACTAAAATGTTCATTAACCTGAGTTTACCTACTTTCGCCTTCTTAATATAGAGAAGCTTGGAAATGAATTTAGATCTGTTAATGAATATATCTTATACTTTATTTAAAGTGCTTTTTTTGAAAATGTGAGTGTATTTGTCAGTGAAAACCTGTCTCTAGAAGTTATGAAATGTATTCATGAATTTTCCAATCTAAAGAATGTTACTTACTTTTAGTTGTCAGTAAGAGTTAAGATTTCTAAGAATTCTAATTAAGCTTGAAAAAAATACATGGTTTTGGTAATGGAAGGTATAAGTTATGGTAATTATTTTTAAGGAAATAGGAAAAAGTGGGTAATACTAAAGTTAGTTGTTCCTGAAAGAGTCCAAGAAGAGGTGAGGCTGGGAAAGGGCGCTATGCTAGCCCCTCTTCCTCCCCAAGCCTAGAAGGGCGAGTGCCACGCGGGACCCAGAAGCGCAAGGATGGCAACAAACCCCAACACACCAAGCTCCTGGGTGTCATCTGGTCGGCAGGACAGAAACACGACCTGCTGCTCTCATAGATAAAATACAGCTTAGCCTTTACCCCCTATGAGGAAGATACCGCAAGAATTCGGTGGGTACTGGGTTACTGGGGAGCCCTCATTCCTCGTTTTGCCCAGATACTGAAACCTTTGTGCTCTGATACGGGAAGGGCCACAGTGGGGTTAGCAGGACAAGCGCCAGTGGGCTTTGGAGGAGGTAAGTGAGCAGCTAAAAGGGACAGGGACTTGGTACCTAGTCCCTGCCCTACCTGGGGAATTGGATGTGCATGTAATTCAGGAGGGGGTGTCGTGGGGTCCCTGGCAGTGATAGGGGGCGCGCTGAACCACAGTAGCGTTTTGGCCCCAGGTATGGAAAGGGGCTGAAGAAAGATACAGCCTAAGAGGGACACAGCTCTGTGCCACCTGCCAAGCCCTGTGAGCAACAGGGCCTGTACCTGGAAGCTCTGCTGTAAGCTGAGGACCACCCATCCCACCACTGGACGGCTGCATGACCTGTCCCACACCCCGAAACCTGGTGCGGGGCAGACACCTACTGTCACGAGACGGAGTGTTCATCTGCAGCAGAGCATGTCCACTCAACAGCCCCTCTCTGCAGGAACTGCAGACATTGCTGGGGACGATCACCTTCGTGTGAGAAGGAGATGCTGAAAAGAGACTTGAGGAAGAGCCTCGCGGCCCTTCGCCAGTGAGAGCAGGTGCAGTTCCAGTGCCACCCGAAGCAGGGCACACTGATGGCCCTGCAAAGACAGCCGCCTAAATAACGTGTGCAGGGCTGGACTGTCCACCACAGACCCCTGTGGGGACAAACCCTGGGGGCTGGCGTATGTTGCTGACTTGTCAGTTTGCTCAGTTTTCACATTTTCAGGGAGGAGTGGCGATTTGCAGCTTCTTACACGCTGGACTGGAGCCAAGACCTTGTTCCCTGAGTCTTTACCTTGTTCTCCCCATTCTGCAGGTGAGTCTATCCATTTAAAGATTTTTGTGTTTTTTTTGTTCTTTTATTTTTGATTCATATAATTTCCGTTCGGTTCTTCTTTGTAATTTCTACAGGTTTTCTATTGTTTTCGTTTGTTTCATGGGTGTTTGTAATTGCTTACTAAAGCAATTTTTTGATGGCTGATTTAAAGTCTTTTACATCTCCAGGCCAGGTGGGGCTCAGCAGTTGAGCATCGAACTGCGATCCAGGCGTTCGGGGTTCGATTCCCAGGCAGGGCACATGCCCAGGTTGCCTGACCTTCCTCTCAGGCCAGGTCAGCAGTGGCTGCCAGGAGTAGTGTAACCAGTTCAGGGACCATGCAGAGAAGTCTAGAAAATGTAGAGAATGCTGACTGGGTCAAGGGAAGNGGGTGTGGCTCAGCAGTTGAGCATCGAACTGCGGTCCAGGTGATCGGGGTTCGATTCCTGGTCAGGGCACATGCCCGGGTTGCCTGACCTTCCTCTCAGGCCAGGCCAGCAGTGGCTGCCAGGAGTAGTGTAGACAGTTCAGGGACTATGCAGAGAAGTCTAGAAAATGTAGAGAATGCTGACTGGGTCAAGGGAAGCAGCTGGCAGAAGCCCAAGCCACACCTTTCAGGTGAGATTTTAGCCAATTAGAAAAAGGATCTAAGCGGACACTTGTTGCTGGTAGAGAAGACTGTGTGAAGAGGCCTGTGAGACTGGCAGTCCCCAGGCCTGCGGCAGCCTCTGCTACAGCCCAGAGCAGAACTGAGGGGTTTCCCCCTTAGGACAGGATGAAGGGGGTGGGCCAGAGGCCTCTTAATTCTGAGGGACCCCGAGTTGGGAGCTGAGGGAACTGAGGTACCTTCAAGTTCCCTCTCTGACTATTGTTCCCTGTCCCCAGGCCCTATTCCAGGGCTGAGCTGGGTGTTCCTTCTCTTTGCACACACCCTTGCTCTTGAGTTACCCTGACCCACCACTGCTGGAGGAAGCCTGGCTTGATTCCCCAGGCCCAGGTGCTCGGGAACCCTGCACCCACAGAGGAACCCGGAACAGCTCACTGCCTCCATGTGCCACTGACGGGAATGCTTGTAGTTGCCTTTTCCCTACTTCTTTTTACCTGGCAAACTCTTTATAATCCGCTTTTAGATCCTGTCCTCAAACTTAAAAGGAAAACTTAAAATACAGGGAAGAGAAGAGAGCGAGATACTTATCTTGTTCATTAATGTTTGCCAGGCATTGTCTTAATTGCTCTGTAGCCATTTAGTGCTACCCCTAGTCATGGGCAAGAAGAGCCTGATAAATAACACACTTAGTGAAAAACCGCAGCAATAGTCCTGCCTGTCTGGTTGGATGCTCTGGGGCAGCGCAGTTGGAGCTGTGACTCAGCATCTGCTCCCTCCGTCACTGTTCAGGCCCCAGGAAAGGCTTCTCCATGTCTTCTGCTTTCTGTCTTGGAAGCTACAGGGGACTGTGTCTGAGTGTTGTGAATGTTTGTGGATTGTGCCTTTGCTAACATCTGATGGACCTGTTTCACGGTCCAGGGAGGACTGAAGCAGCTGGAGAGCTTGTAAGAGAAAAGTCAACTTTTCAAATACTGTCATTCAAAGAGCATGAATACAATAGATTCTGGCACAAGGAGGAATCAGGTGCTGGCAGGGCCCGGCGTAGAACTCTTGGCTTGTCTTCTTGCTCCACGTATTAACCAGTTATTCCCAATAGTTACAAATGGAAGCAGAGGGACATTCTGCAATATTAAAGGTCTTATTACTCTTAGGTTTGTATGTATGGGGCTCTAGATGGAACATGCATGCAGCATGATCCACATTTTCCAAAGAGAAGCCTGAGGCAAAGGAGTTTGAGTGATTTGTTGACTCTAATAGCTCCCTGCAGCTTAGAACCATTTCCTCTCAGAGCTCTGCCCTTCCCCCCACCACCTAGGGCTCCTCCACGTGTCTAAGGTAATAGAAGGAGTATCTCCGTGATGATAACTCTCTCCCCCCTGTTACATGGTCCCCACGTGCTTTCCCCTACTAAAAACCTCAAGTGTCAGGACAATATGTTTTAACTAAATATCACAGAGATGTCTACTCTTGAATCATTTTTCTTTTTAGTTTTTTAAACCCCTGAGGCATTCAGTCTTTAGATCTTCGATAACTGAGAGAAAGTGCTCAGATGTTCACCCAGTGCAGTTTGATGAGGACGCCCTTCCAGGCACTGGGCAAAGAGCCTTNTTCAGATGTTCACCCAGTGCAGTTTGATGACCACGCCCTTCCAGGCACTGGGCAAAGAGCCTTCACCAGAGGCATCTGCCCAGAGACAGATGAGGCGCCTGGGCGCCCGCGCTGATTGGGTGCTGCCCGGGTCTCCCCAGGCCTACCCATGGGGAGGCTTTCACAGGGCCTCCTTCTCTGCAGGGGTGCATCCGGCACCGGTGGAGCTGGGCTCACGGCCTCACTTCTTCCTTTGTCCTGATCATGTCTGGGAAGAGGGCTCCGCGGACCCCCGGCGGCCTTTGGGCAGCAGCTGTGATGGTGGGGCTGGCGGTGCTCATTGCCCCAGGGGCTGAGGGCAGAGACTCTCCAGGTGAGTGCAGGGCAGGGGCCCCCCAGAGCCACCAGCCTGGGGGACGGGCTCCGAGGGACTCTTGGGCTGGGTGTGGGGTGACTGTGACCTGAGAGTAGTCTTTTATCACACGTTTCCTCTCTTTGGGAAGGAGCTGACTCTCTTGCTTCCCCTTCTAGTGAGGAGGTGAGGTCAGCGGCCTCCCCCGCCAAGCCTGGGGCTGTTACAATGGCAGGGAGGAGGCAGGGCACCTCCTACCAGGGACAGGAAAAGGTTATTTTGAAGATCAGATTTTCTCCCCAGAGGAGACAGGAGCATTTGTCCTTTCACGGTCCCCACAACCTTGCCTGGACTAAATACTAGGGGCTGTGGGTTGGGAGGTGTGTGCACTGGCCTCTGCCCTGTGGGACTGAGGGAAAGGGCTCCACACCCCAAGTCTGAGTGGAGGGCTCAGGAGGCAAACTCGGGGTGTCTGAGTGGCTCTGACCTGGTGACCACAGACAGGGAGCCCCGACTTCCTTCCCTGGCTTAGGGTCACATAGCTACCGAGTGGGATGCAGTGTTGAGCGGATGGTGGGCTGAATTTAGGAGAAAGGGGAATGCAAAGAGGGGACCAACGCGCTGAGAAAGCCTTACCTTCAGACTCAGGATTCCCTCTTCATAGGAGCCCTCGCTCCCCTGTGCGTGGGTATTGCGGTCTCTACGCAGCTACGTTTGTGCTGGAGATGCTCTGAGCGACCTGCCCAAGCCGGCGCCCGGGCCGTCGGACGGGAGCCCCGTTTATCTGACTGGGGAGCNAGCGGATGGCGGGCTGAATTTAGGAGAAAGGGGAATGCAAAGAGGGGACCAACGCGCTGAGAAAGCCTTACCTTCAGACTCAGGATTCCCTCTTCATAGGAGTCCTCGCTTAGGCTTCCCAGCACCGGGTGCGTGGGTATTGCGGTCTCTTTACGCAGCTACACTTGTGCTGGAGATGCTCTGAGCGACCTGCCCAAGCCGGTGCCCGGGCCGTCGGACGGGAGCCCCGTTTATCTGACTGGGGAGCCCGGGCCC